CCTCTGAGGCCAGGCCTGCGTCTGACACTGCTCAGGCTGGCCCTGCACACAGCCACACAGGTCACTGCAAAACTCAAAGCTGACCCGTCACTCCCGGCTCAGGCCCCCTATTGCTTTAGGATCAGACCCAAACTGCTTGGCTGGTGTGTCTCCAGCTGTCTCTCTGCCCTCTGCCTTGAGGTGACCTTCCCGTGAGACCTACGTCCACCCAGCCATCCTGGGCTCCCTCCCCCCACCTTTGCTTCTGCTGTCCCCTCAGTAGAATGCGTTTCCCCCTCGGCCCGCGCTTGTGACCCTTGGTGGCTCAGTGTCACTGGCCTCCCGAAGCCCTCTGCCTTCCCCCTTCCTGCCACACCTCTGCATTCCCCTGTGGCCGCACTCCCCTGCTCTTTCACCCTGCCCACCTCTCCCTACCCAGGAGCCCCCACTGAGGGTGGCAGAGGGGGGCTGCTATGCAGACGCCCACACACGCACACTTCCTGGGGGCTCTCTCGCACGTCCTGCCCTCAGGCTGAGGGCTCAGCACTGGAGATCTCTCCAGAGACAGACAAGGCTGAGTAAGACCGGGGTGTCGGCTGTGGGGAAGCCTGCTCTCTCAGGGAGCGGCTCTAGAGAAGTCAGAGAAGCAGCAGCAGGTGAGGCGCCATCCCCGTGCCAGGGCTGAGTCTGCGGGACAGGGAGGGGCACCTGTGTGGAAAGGCAGTATGGCCTTGCTGGTGAGCAGGTGTCTGTCCCTGGCAGAGGCCCGTTGTCTGTCTGTTTTGGGGGAGTGGGCAGGAGCTGCGAGTGGGCACCTCTCCTTCCGTGTGGGGAGCAGGTTGGCAGGCTGTGGCTGGCGTGGGGGCGCTGTCAGGACCCGAGCTGCTTGCAGAGGGGTGCTCCCTGGAGCCTGTGCTGCTGTGGGGTGGGGGCTGTGTCCTGCTCCAGGGGTCCGCAGGGGGGTCAGCCTGGCTAGGACAGCCCAGCTGCTCATCCCAGGTGCCGAGCTGGCCCGCCCCTTGCTGTCTGCTGTGTGGGCCAGGGCAGGATGAGCCCCGAGCCCTCGGGTCAGGCTTGGCCCTGAGAGCCCGAGTGTCGCAGAATCATGAGAACCCTTCCATACTCGCGATCTCCCCGCTGCCCACAGCACTTCCCTGAGATACGATACGTACGTTTTATACACAAGGAAACAATCTCGGAGATTCGCTGCAGTTTCCGTTTCACAGACAAAGAGTAAGTGGCAGAAGCAAGATTTGAACTCATGACTTCTGCTTGCATTTTCTGTTAGATGAGCGCAAACGCTTGCATCTCAGTGCCTGCTTGTTTCCTGTCCATAAATGGAGCTGCGGAGGAAGGAGTGTCTCCAACGTCCACCCCAGCCCTCTCATTTGGCTCCGACTCAGCGGGGAAGCCTTGACTTCCTCTCATCCCGCAGAGGGACTGGCCCGCCTCCTGGCACTGTCCTCCCCTAGTGTCCTGCGGGCTCAGGGGGGCTGGGCATCTGGCCAGCTGCCGCCCCTTTGCCCCTCACGGGTCCGTGTTCTCCTCCTGGCCCTGCTGACCCAAGGCTGTGCACTTCTGTCTTTCCAAACCCTTTTGGGTCTGCTTGCCTCTGGGCTGCTGTTTGGGCCCTTTTTCCCCGAGTGGTGATGAAATGGCAGGGCGCCCCCCTCCCCGTGGCTCTCCCCCCCCCCCCCCCAGTTTGTTTGGTAATTTGGAGAGACTTGTGAAAAATGCATGAGGCCCGGGGTATAGGAGATAAGCTGAAAAGCTTGGGAGAAAATCCACTTGTGAGTTGTGGGTTGATTGGAAAAACTCTTTCTTTGTCCTCGCTGTCCCTGTCCCAAAAGGGATCAAGTTTAGGAATAATTTCTCTATTAATGTTGGTGCTTTCATCCTGGGTCAAAAGCTTGTTGGCGCCTGCTTGTCAGAGATTTTCCCTTCTCTTCTAGCTTCTTCCCCTCATAAGCTTGGCTTAAATTCCTGTCCTAATGACTCCGAGTTCCCTCTTTAAAGGTCGCTGTCCTGACGCACAAAAGTGGAACCAGACCAGCAACTGCACAGATACCCTCTTGGGAGTGTGGGGTGTTTTGGAGAAGGAAGCGGTTGGAGGGCTGGGGCAGAACTGGCCCCAGCCAAGTGAGTGTCCCACGGCGCCTCCTGTTCGAAGGAGGGCCACGAGGACGCGTGTGGGTCTCCGCCCACACCGGGGGCACCTCTAGCAGGTGGCCGGCTGTCCTGTTCCCGAGCAGCCCCCGAGTGTGGCCTCGAAGTCTGCCTCCACAAACACGGTCCTCACCCTTCTCCAGCTCAGACTCCAGCCAGGGGTGAGGACCCGAGACCCAGATACACAACATGGCTTGCCCAGGGTGCCACCAGGAGGTGACAGCAGTGGGAGGAGGCTGGTCTTGTCGTGTCTGGTGCCTTCCTCGTCCCTCTGCACCAGCTGCTTCCAGTGTGTCGGGAGTGGGGGTGGGGGCGGGGGCATTTGGGTGCTGTTAGTTCATACCCCAGAACATGAGCTGGTTGGCCAGGATTATGGGTCAACAGCGAGAAGCCCTGGAGGCTTTGCTCAGCCACGAGTCTGCTGTGTGGCACAGGATGCTGGCGCTGACATGAAGTTTGTGGAGTAGATGGCCTCTCAACACGATGACGTTAACGTGATTTCACGTGTACGTGTGAACCTTGGTGTCTCCTGAAGGACATGCTCTTGCTGCAGCGTAGGCCTGGTCAGAGGAACAGGATCCGGTGCAGGGATGGGCGCCCAGGGTAGCGCCCGAGAGGCACCCGCAGTGGGGCAGTGCAGGCGCTTGGGCGAGGCCGCGGTGTGGGCTGGAGGCACCGGGCATGGCCCCTTGACCCAAGAGATAAACCTTCCTTTGGGACACGTCACACACAGCTTGTCCTCGTGGCCCCCATGGGTGGCAGATGTGGGCTCGCTTGCATCAGCTGCTGGCTCACTCCGCCAGACCAGGGCAGCGGGCCAGCCGCTGAGCTGACTTGCCGGCAGTCACGTCCCCCAGGGAGGAGGCAGAGGAAGCTGTGAAGGTGGCTTCCTCCCTGCATCCAGACCTCCAGAAAGCCTCTGGGGAAGGGACCTCCCGAAGGTCCCTGGACACTCCCTGAAGGGAGTGTGCAGCCCCCTGGAGTTCTGGGGTGGGGATGGGACGCAGGCCTCCCACATGTGTACACTGGCTGCCTACCTTTTAGGGACGGAGACTTTTTTGAAACATTCAGAGAAAAAGACCCAAATGAGCCCATAACCTGATCCTCTGATACGATGCACTGGGGGAGCGGATTTCAGAGGGAGAGATAGGAATCTCTGGCTTTTATGTCTGAGAGCTCTTAAAAATGATTACTAGGAACCAAAATAGGTTCTCTGAAAAGAAGAGTAATTGTACATGGAGCTTTGTTTTTGCTGATAAGGTTACTAGAAATGAAGCAGGGTGGTTTTTCTTCCCTGCCTTTGGTGACCCCCAGGCTGACCTTGCAGACTGGGTGGGGGCAGGTGCACCAAGCCGGTATATTCATTCCTTGGGGTGGCCCTTACACAGTACCACGGACTGAGGGTCTTTAAGTGGTAGGAATGTCTCCTCCCACAGTTAAGGGTCTGGAAGTCTAAAGTCAAGCTGTTTGCAGGGTGGGTGCCCTCCAGAGGCCCTCAGACACTGTCCATGCCTCTCTCTTCCAGCATCTGGTGGTGGCCGGCAGTCCTTGCCTGTCCCCGCCTCGCAGCTGCATGACTGCCATTGCTGTCTTCATGCGGCCGTCTCCCTACGTGTCTGCACCCAAAATTCCCTTGTCTCAGAGCCACCAGTCAATGGATTAGAACCCGTCCTAATCCAGTAGGGACTCCTCTTAACCTGATTACACACCCGAAGATGCTGTTTCCAAATAAGGTCACGTTCACAGGGACCTGGTTTAGGACAGAACCGATCAGTCGGGGGTTAGGGGTGTGGACACGCTTCAGCCCACAGGAACAGCAGCTGCTGGACGCCTGCCTCACCCAGTTTTCTCTCTGGGCCCCTCTCTGGTTTCTCTAGTGTTCCGCATCTGTATCCTTAGAACTGTATGGTTTTAGAGCCAGAGAGGTGGTCACGTTCACTGTGTCTGCCTGACCGGCCTGCTCCCGCCCCCGATGCAGCCCAGGGCTCCTGCAGTCCAGAGGTGACGGGGGTCAGAGCCAGGACCCCCGGGTTCTTTTCCTGGAAACATTTCGCACTTTCTTTTGTTGAATCCTGTTACAGGTAATAGTTTCTGGTTCTTCTCGTGCATTAGAGTTCTTTCCCCAGGAAAAATGCAGCTTCATTAAAGACCAGTTTCATGCTGGTTCCTCCTGCACTTTTTCCACAAGTCTGCCATGCAGCTAGTAGGTGATAAAGAAGCACTTCTTGGCATGGGCACCTGAGGGCCAGGCGGTGGTCCGGGGCAGGGGTCTCGCTGCCGGGCCTCCCCGCAGACCTCACGAATCCTGGCATTTAGGCCCCACTGGCCCTGCTGCCGAATCCTTCCCCGGGTGGGGTGCAGTCACATGGGGAGCAGGGCTGGTTTCAGGTGAGGCTTTACCCAGGGGTCACTCGAGCTGACCAGAACCACGTCGCTCTGCCTCTCTTGGCTCTGTTTCCTCACTTCGGGCTCCATCAGGCCTCTCCCTCAGACCCCAAGGCCGCCCGCTGCTGCACATCCTCCTCTAAGTGAGGACAGCTGTTTTCCCAGAAGTCTCAGCAAGAGCTCTGAACCTGCCTGTGATTGGACTGACTCGGGTCACAGGTCCTCTCCTGAGCCAGTGGCCCTGGGCGGCAGAATGCCCTGATTGGTCCAACTAAAGTCATGTGATCTGTGGGGCTGAGTGGTTGGGGCCCCCAAACAGAAGTGAGGGCTGGGGTGGGGGCGGGGCAGGAGGGAAGGCTGGGGAGAAGACGGCTAGGTGTGGTGGGCCCGCGGGATGGAGTCCTGCTCGTCACCCGCCTTCCAGCGTCAGCCTCCTCTCTCTAACTGGAAGGGGTGCGTTGTCCTTCCAGGAGTACATCGATGCCCACCCTGAGACCATTGTCCTGGACCCCCTTCCTGCCATCAGGACCCTGCTCGACCGCTCCAAGTCCTACGAGCTCATCCGGAAGATCGAGGCCTACATGAAAGGTACGGACAAGGCGGCTCTGCACCCGTGGCAGGCGGCCCACCTCGGCGGTCACCAGGCAGTCATGGCCTGAGGCAGGAGGGGGTCTTTTTAAGCACTTTGGGGCAGGAAGCTGTTGAGTTCCGGGGGCCACACATTCTGGGGAGGGGCCTTCCTTCTCCCTCTGTGACCGGCAGAGCTGGGAAGTAAAAGCCCCAGAGTGCTCTTTGGGAGAGCGGCCCGGCCACTTCCGAATGGTTTTGTTCTGTCGTCATGAGGCCACGGAGTGGCATCGGGGTGTCTCTGTGACACGGTGGCTGGAGAGCCGGAGCGTGTGCAGAGGAGCTTGGCGGCGGGCGGGCAGGAGGGTGCAGTTATGTAACCGGGTGGAGGAGGCAAACAGAAATCAAAGGGCCTTTACCCTACTGCATGGAGATATGTAGCGTGGCGGCTGGAGCGCACGGGGTACCCCATGTTCTCGTGGCAGGAGCCCCCTCTTCGCTGCAGGAGCTTCTGCTGCCAGCTACAGCCTCTGTCCCTGGGGGCTCACCATCCCCACCTCCGGGCAGGGCAGGGCAGGGCAGCTGCGTGTCCAGGGCGTTTGTTTATGGTTTTGGGGAAGATCCATGTTAACAGTAGCCCTGGCTCCTTTTGCCTGGTCAGGCGCTCCCTGCCAAGAGCCCTTGTTTAACGTTAAGGGGAGAGGCTTTGCCCCCGCCCCGGGGCCTCGCGGAGGTTCATCCTTAGGGGTAGGAGCGGCAGCCCCTGCTCCGCCATCCAGACCGTGAGTGGCTGTGCATGCTGCCTGGAACCCCAGCCTGGATGGCGACTTGGCCCTGGCGTCGTTCGGTGTGATGGTGGGGACCAGTGGGCAGCTCGGCTCGCAGGACCATCATGGGAATAATGAGAGCAGCCTTTCCTGAGTGTGCGCCAGGTGCCTGGTATTGGGTGGGGCCTTCTCCTCCTGTTCTGTCTTCCTGTGCTCATAAAGGGGGCACTGTCCCCTCCCTAACTTTATAGAGGGGCGCCAGAGGCTCGGTGAGGTTGGCGAACACGCCGACATCACGCGGCCTGTGAGTGTCAGCCAGCACTTGGCCAGGTCTCCAGCCCAGGCTCCCAGCTCCAAACCCCTGAGCTTGACGATCACGCCCTGGGTCTAGCAAGCGCCTGGCATAAGTGCAACCACAGGCCCGGCTAAGAGAATTGGCGGGTTCCTGTTTCTTTAAGGAGCGTGCCCTGAGGAAGACCTGGGTGCCTGACCTGGCCGTCCTGCCAGGGTTCTCGAGGCTTGTTCCCTCTGTCCCAGGTGGGACGGGGCACAGACCCGACTACCAGAGGGTGGGGGGCACGTGGGCAGCTTCCTGAGCACACCAGCGTCCTTTCCTCCTTGGGGTGGTCAGTGGTGAAGTCAACTTCCCTCTCCCCTTTGTGTTCCTTTCCTGGGTTCAACTAGGGCCCCTAGGTGACAAGGACTCTCTGGAGTGATGTTCTGGCTGAGTGTTGGTTCTGGAGTGTTGGTTCTGAGTGTTGGTTCTAGAGACAGGTCCCCCGTCTCCTCCGGGACCTGTGTGTAGGACACCGACTCTGTGCGGAGGGACAGGGGATTGTATTAAAAGGTGATGGTCCCAACGAGTGAGGAGGTACAGGTCATGGCCATGGCCCATGTCCTCGACATACCCATGAGCAGAGTGACGGTGCAATGGGGCAGGGGCACACCCCGCAGCGGGCTTTCCCAGAGCCAGGAGCACAGGCTACTGCAGGGGACAGACCGAGGCCGGGCCCCGGGCTAGGCCTGTGCTTGCGTGTGCTCCTGGCCAGGGCCCGGCCAGTCTTCTGTAAGACGCAGGCAGTAAGCGGCTTATCCGTGGCCTCGGGGGTTGGGATAACTGGGTTCATGTCTGACAGGCACTCAGACGGGTCCCAGCCTGCTGGGGTCACCCAGGAATGGCAGCTGCTGTTGCTGCTCCCTCACAACAGAAGGGGTGAGGCATCTGGATTGGGTCTTGGAGTCCATCTTGATTTTGTGGGCAGTCAGGGCTGGGGATCAAGGGTGAGCCTGGGTTTGGAGCACAAGCGTGTGCCGTCAGGGCAGCAGGGCAGCGGTGGGCTGGACTGCAGGGTGCACGGACTCGGGGCTGTCCCACTGGTGGACAGTGCCGAGGGAGTGACAGCCTGGGCCTCCTTGACGTGGCAGGGGGAGCCAAAGTGTGGGGTGCTGGCGAGGGACTTGCAGAACACTGGGTCAGAGTGGGGGGCTCGGACACCTCAGGCAGTTGTGGGGGGTTTTATCTGTAGACAACTGTTGAAGGCATGCGAGCAGATGAGAAGACACCTTAGTCCAGACGGGGCCCGGAGACAGGTTGAATGCCTGTGACCTGTATCCTGTAGTGAGGCTGCCACACACCCAGTGTCGGCCTGAGCGACTGGCTCCCAGTGGGCCGAGAATCAGGCCCCACTCTGCTGGGTCCAAGAAATCTCAAACTCAGCCGTCCTCAGCTCGGGGGCTGCTTGCGGGGGGACTCCACCCCTGGCCCAGCAGGAGCTTGTAGACGAAACCCTAAAGGCGGGCTTGGTCTGAGGCCAGCAGGAATTGTGTGGGTGGGTGGGCCACAACCACTGCACCCTGGATTTTCCTTATCGTGCACGCCATGCGGGGCTGGTATTCTTCCAGGAGGGCGGCCAGAGGCTGGGACTTCCTAGAGCCTTTTCCTGGGGCTGTTCCTGGGGAGGACTGCCCGCCCCCACCCCAGAGAGGCCAGCTCCTCCTCTGTGCAGACGAGAACCTTCTGTGGGAGGCACGTCCTGCTGTCCCCCACACCGCTCCGCTGTTCCTTGGAGGGGTGCGACCCTGTTAGGGTGCTGCAGACAGCTACAGCTGCCTCTTCAGGTCCCCAGGCAGTCACAGTGCTCCAAGTGCCCGCGTTGCTGTTGGGAGCAGGGGCCTCGCAGAGACCACCAGCCCTCGTGCTGAAGCAGCTCGCCCTCTCCTCAGGAGCGTGGGTGGGGGGCCGCGGCCTGTGGGGCGGCTTCCACACTGAACAGCAGAGCGCTGGGACAGGGTCCACGCTCAGCGGCCGGTTTTCTCCGTGCAGAGCATCGGCTCTGAAAGGCAGGCAGGCCTGCTGCCTGGAGCTCCCAGACTCACGTGTCAGAGGCCCCGGGCGGCCTCGGGTGGTCGGTGCCATCTCGTTGCGTGTTTCCTGGCTGTGAGCCTGCAGGGGAAGCAGGTCCTTTCTCCATCTCAGGCCTGCCGGTCTTGGGTGCGCCCGTCCGGTCAGTGCTCAGGGTGCTGCAGCGACAGAGACCTGCCATCAGGGTGGCTTCAGCGAGATGGAGAGTCCTTCCCTCTCACAGACAAGCCCAGAGGAAGGTCGCCTGGCACCATGCCGGACAGCAGGGATGAAGGCTTCTTCGGGTCACCGTGTGGCGGGGCGGCCCTCCTGGTCCAAGGTGGTGCTCAGACACTCGTGATTCAGACTTTAGGGTGGGGAGGGGGACTAGGAAAAAGGGAGCAAAGGGAAGCAACCCTGGTTGTCCTCAGGAAAGGTCTGGAAGCCACATGATGCTCTGCTCACATGTCTGTCGCTGGCCAGAACTTGAGTCACGTACTAAGCTGCAAGGCAGTGGGGGAATGTGGTCTTTATTCCGGGCAGCTGTGTGCCCAGTGGAAATTTAGGAGCTCTGTCACCATGGAGGAAGGGGGAGAATGAGTGTTGGGCCACCTTCTAAGGAATCTGTGGGTGCATGACTCAGAATGACCTTTCCCCTCCCGCTGGCCAGGGGCTGTGGGCCCTGCCTCTGACCCCGGCACTGAGTCTTTCCCACACCCCCCAGCCAGAGGCATAGGTACTCCGAACCTGAAAGATCCAGGGCAGGGCCCCCCAGAAGTCAAACACTGGCAGGGGCGGGCGTGAGGGCAGAGGGGAGGAGCCTCGCCCACGAGGCAGGCTTGCCGCGTGCACACCTTTGCAGGTTTTCCCCCCCGAGTGGCCCCTGCTTTGCCACACAGGCCTGGGACTTCGAGATGGAAGCCCCAAGACCAAAGCGTGGCTCTGCCACCCCAAGCTGAGCAATTGCTGGCCCGGCTGCAGCCAGCTGCTGAGCTGACTTGTGAGAAAGCACCTGGGCTGTGTTCGGATGACACGGTTGTCCCCTGGGCCCCAGGGGCGGTGGCTAGGGAAGTGTCTCAGACCACAGGGCAGAGGGCTCAGGAGGCCCTTTCGAGCTGTGGGTGACACAGCTGATGGCAGCTGCGGGTGAGGGGTGGCTTTTTCCGCCCCTTCTCCCGGAGCCTCCCACGCCCGAGCTCCGGAGGTGACAGATGGGCGTCGGGCGCCGGCCCCTCTGGGGAGGGCTGCACAGTACAGGCCGAGTGGAGCTGCCTGTGCTTTGTGGGAATTTAATCAGAGCTCATCTGGGAGGCCGGACTGCAGCGGAGTAATCTAGACACCAAGTGAAGAGAAAATAACATTCCTTTTGGCCTGGGAGAACTGATTCCCCACAGAGCATCTGCCATGGGGGTGGGGAGGATGCTGGGGTGCGGGGTGTGGTGAGTTGGGGGCCTTTACACTCAGAGGTGGGGGTCGGCGCTCCTGCCCACCCTCAGGGAGCTGCAGGAGACACTGGGTGGGAGAGGCGAGGGCAGGGAGGGGGCTGGGAGTCCAGACCTGGGCGCACGTCCACCCGTGTCCTCTGCACTGTGTGGCCTGGGCTGGTCACTGCTCCTCTCTGAGCCTGCTCTGTCAGTGTGTGCAGGCGGGTGCTGTTCGAACCACTTTCTGCATATCGGCTGGTTTCATGCTCACGGTGACCCCGTGGGAAAGGTTCTGCTATTGCCCCATGGCCGTGAGGACACTCAAGTGCAGTGAGCTTAGGTTGTCTGGGGCCGCAGAACTGTTAGGGATTTGAAGCCACGGTGCACTTAGCCAGCGGTTCCCGAATGCGCGGCTCCCAGCCCTTGTGTGTGCTGGCTGCCTCCTCCACGAGCCTGGCAGGGTGTGGGGGGACCTGGGACCTCGAGGGA